GATATGTGGGGTATATTAATTTTTTAAATATATAAAAAATAAATACATAAATAAGAAAATTAATTAAAAAATAAATTAATAAGGGCAAAATAGTCTTTCTAGGTAAGACAGGGACCAAACGCGCAACAAAAATAAACAGTAGGGACCATCCAAGTTAAAAAAATAAGTTAGGGACAAAAACACAAATTCCCCCGAACCACAGAGACCATTCGTGTAATTTAATTTTTACTTTTCGTTTTGTTCATATTTGGGTAACTATTTTTTTGTACACATCTAGGTAACGAACTTGTTGAAAGTGTTCACATCTACGATTTTACCTGCTATAGCAGGTCATAATGGTCATATGTGAACACTTCCAACAAGTTTATTACCTAGATGTGTACAAAAAAAAGATAGTTACCCAGATGTGAACATACCGAAAAGTTAATTATAAGTCATATTCCCTTATATTTATTATGTAATATTTATAAAAAATGTTTGTATAAGATGTTGGTGGAAACAAAAAAAAATGAAAAAAAAAAAGTAGAAGAATATTTAATTTTTATTGAAACACATAAGTTGCTAAAAGGTCATCCTTTTCCAAAGATTTTTTTAGTGGTTTATAATTAGAGTAAATTACATGAATGGTCCCTATGGTTTAGGATAATTTGCACGTTTGGTCCCTAACTTATTTTTTTAACTCGGTAGGTCCCTACTATTTGTTTTTGTTACGCGTTTGGTCCCTGTCTTACCTAAAAATACTATTTTGCCCTTGAATTTTTTAATTTATTTAAATAGACACACCCCCAACCCCACCCCCTTCACTTTACCTTACCTGCCCCACCATTTTTTCTTATTTAAATAATAGTTTTTTAGGTAAGACAGGTACCAAACGCGTAACAAAAACAAACAGTAGGGATCAAACGTGTAACAAAAACAAACAGTAGGGATCAAGCGTGTAACAAAAACAAACAGTAGGGACTTTCCGAGTTAAAAAAATAAGTTAGGGACCAAACACGCAAATTACCCCAAACCATAGGGACCATTCGTGTAATTTACTCTTATAATTATTAATTCAGCAAATTGGAATTTAATGATTATTTTATGTGGAAAGTTGTTCAAAGGTCTTTTCTTTCCAAATTTCTTCTACGATTCCTGAAATCACATGTCCACGACTTTATGATTTAGAAATCGATTACATCCTAAAAGTCAAGTGTGAATATCTGACCATCAAATGTTAACTTCAAAATTAACAATTTTAGTCTTTTCTGGTATGAAAATAAATTTGCACTTACAATGTAATTATTGTTTCTTGTCTAAAATCAAATACAACATATATATATATATATATATATATATATATATATATATATATATTATATATATATATATATATATGTGTGTCTAAATATGAAATTTCAAATTTAAATAATTCATCATTTCAAAACTTCTTTTTTTATTTTCTTAAGACCACGTTTCCAGTCTAACTTCACTTATTATATCTATTTTTTTCAATATTCAACATTAAATTCCAGTTTACGTTTGTGAAAAAGTTATTTCATAGTATTATTATTTATTCGGAATGTAGGTTGTGTCTTAATTTAAACTATTAAACTCACAGCTTTTTAATTAAACCCTAGGTTCTTATTAAGTTAAGTTTAATTAATAGCAACAAGACAAGTAGACAGCAGTCGCATACAATCATACATATCCCGCTTATTTATTTATTTATTTATGAAAAGTACGGACGTTATTATATTCGGAAATTATGCAATTTTTGACTTTTCCGATCGTTGACAACTCCCTAATCCGCCGCAAGTATGAGCCGTCGAACGGGACAGCTAGGCCGACATCCAGAGAACAGATGGAAGCACGAGAAATCTATATACTAATTCTTGTTAATTCAATCTGAATATCTGATGCTGAACATTTTCGATTTGATTTCAACTAAGAACAAGAGACTGTGAATCAAGTCAAATGAGCTGTAACATAAGATACGAATATGAACCAACTGTGTATCAAAATATAGCATATCATGAGCTCGGAATTGATCCAAATGATTGATAATTAAGCTCATTTCTCATATATTAATCAGATAAAACTCGTAGTCGATCTAATGAGAATATGAGAGAGAGAGAGAGAGAGAGAGTACCTTCGGAAGGAACAGTTCGCGGAGTTTGAGCGTTGGATTTCTGGAACATGATGATGCAGAGGAAGAAGATGATGAATTTCGAAAATGAAATTGAAGAAGGCGGCGGCAGCGGTGGCGGAAACTTAGATCGGAAACCCATCGTCTCCGTTAAACGAGAGCGAGAGCGAGAGAGAGAAGAAGTCAAGTCAATTGAATAATGGACCAGTGGGTGTCAATGTAATGAATGTATGTGTATCTATCTCGTATTCTCATGTGTGCGAAAGGTTATTGAATCGACTGAAGAGGGATTGGGCTCCACGTGCGGGGTCAAAGTTTGATTTGGCCCATTATATAGGCGGTAATCAATAGTGGTTGACCCATTGACCATAAACATTCGTCAATTTTATCATTTTACTTTTTCTGAAACAAGTCATTACCACAAGATTGATGTAATAGTCAATGGTAACAATGCAGGGCTAGGGATAATAATAAAATAATAATAATAATAAATAAATAACATAGGAAAAGATGTGGAATATCTAGTAAAAGCGGTTTGTTGTGTCTTTGAATATGGCTTACATAATATCGATATCAGTTATATGGTTATATGATATTTTGTTGTGGCTTTGAATCTGTATTAGGTAATTTCAATAGGGATTGTATGGTTATATGATATCTTGTTGTGCCTTCGAATCTGCATTAGGGGTCTGGAGTCTCATATGATTACGTGATGCTGCTATCTCAAGTGTGTTTGGGTCTTTGGGATGACTTATGGTGGGTTCTATAAATCGGTGGCTCAAAGCAGTTAAAAATGATAATGTCTTAATCTAATTAGTAAAAAAGCTTGGGCTTAGGGTTGTCTTTTTTTATTAATATTTTTGCCTTTTTTTTCCAATTAGGGCATAGTACTTTGAAAAGATTATAAAACTGGGACAAAAAAGTAAGATGTTAAAACTTTTTTGTTTCAAAAACTAAAATTGCACAATAGTCATTGCATATACAAGAAAGTAATTGGATTTAAGAGCCAATCTAAACACAAGAAAGAGTAAAAAAAAAAGCAACCATTACATTTCAAAATGAATAAAAAAACTAGAATCTAGCAAAACATAAAATGTCAATAGCAATGACGAAATTCTACAAGTGAGTAGCAGCAGCCACTGTTGGTGTTACAACATTCATCATCATCACATGAGTTCTTGGGATTTCCTTAAACATCTCCTCACTTTCTTCCTGAACTCATCTCTTTTATCTCTTCATTCTTTCTATAATTACACCAAAAAAAACACACACATCTTAAACCAATGCTCAATAAAAGAAACAAATAACACAAGGGCAATATGGTCATTACCGTAACTTCGACAATTGCAAGAGATTCGTCATTAGGGCTTGAAAGCATTGAGATAATACTCAACACTATGCTCTCCAACTGTAAAGTACAGTTAAAGTAAATTTTGTGTTTGGATTTGATAAGAACACAAGGGTATTTTTGAAAAATAGTCATTAGGATCATCACTAGGGAGATGGAGAATTGAAATACAAACCTTCCCATCAAGGTAAATTGTAAACACCAAAATAAGTCTTTAATATTTTTTTGCATATTTAGTCCTTAATATTTGTTTTGTTGCAAAATAAGTTTTTTTTTGTTTTTGTACTCATTCAGTACTTATGATTTATTTTGCAAAATAGGTCTCATGTAAGATATTGTAAGAAAAACCTAAAGAAATCATCATAAGTATTGAATGAGTATAAAAACAAAAAGGACTTATTTTGCAACAAAAGAAAATATTTAGGACTAAAATGTGCAAAAAAATATTAAAACTAAATGTGTACAAAGTGATAAATATATTATTTTTTTAAGTCATTTTTTCCGACTAACCTAGAGTAGCCGGTCATAAGGACTGAATGTGTACAGTTTAATAAGTAGAAGGAGTAAATGTGGACGAAAAAAACTAGTAACCAAACATTTACAAATCGAAAAATATATTATCTTCTTATTATTATTTCTTTGTATATAGCCGCAAAAAGTCAAAAACCATTATGAAGGCTTAAAATGGCTCTTTGCTCTTGACCTTATATCCACGACTCACACTCATCAGAGAAAGAGACATTTCCATTTTGTTCTTCTAGGCTCAAACTCAAATATTTAATATACAAATCAAAGATAATATGTTCTACAAAACCTTATATTAACTTTTAAATATTAATACCAACTAAATTTATTTTTCTAATTTTAATGTATGCTTAAATAATGACAAATCAAAAAGTTGAATTTATATAACATTTTAATTAGATAAAAATAAATTAATTCTTTACAAAAACATTGAAAATGTTAACTATTAAAGAAAATTTGTAAGAATATATTAGAAAATTAATACAACAAAAAGAATGGTATAGTAATCTCTTTCCAAATCTTATTACAGTTTTATTTTAATAAAAACACTATAGATATGATTACTATTTGGTTAATACTCTCTTTTGCATATTAAAATAACAATATATTAACAAAAGAAGTTACTAACAAAAATTAATGGAACAAAAGTAGGACTCTTTATGAACTGATCTATATATATTCTTAAAAACTCGATTTAGGACTAATTTTGATCCGGTTTAAAAACTGTTTATGATTGAAACTGATTTGTTTATATCGATCCCTTGACAAAGATAGGCAGGTCCAATCAATCCACTATTTCTTAGGACTAGTTTTGGTTTTAGGACTAATTTTGGTTTTGGACTTTTGCTAATCTCTACATAGCCCATCCAATCAATTAAATAACTCGGTTTTGCATATACAATCATTGAACTTCTTCAACTTACTCTACTAATTACAACACATTCGAGAATTCTAATCTTAAAATATACAATGTACAAGTTCCTAGCGTCTGAAAATATGTCACCTTCCTTCTCTTAAACTTTCATTGTTGATCAGCTCAGACATGATTATAGGTGAAGTTGACTCAATACCCGTTGAGGTAGTTGTGGTTGTATTTGTATTTGTAGTGATGGTTGTATTTTCAAATGACAAAGAAGGAGTTTCTTCATCATAAAAAGTGTTGGTTGTATCGTTGAAATCCCAATCGGTTAAATAACTTGGTTTTGTAGTGACTTGACTTATTTCAATGTCCCCTGAAAGCATTGGAATGACACGTGACATTGCGGGTCTTAAAGAAGGTGATGCTTGAACACACATGAGAGCTATTCCTATCATACGTCTGGCTTCTTGTTCATCAAAAGATGTTAAAGATGGATCTACAAGCTCTAGGCTTCGGTTGCTTTCGTATAGACTCCATGCCTTGAAACACCATAAACATGTTAGGTTATTACCTATGGAATGGATTGTTAATTATGATTAACCAATTTTTATTTAGAAAAAAGAAAGACACTTTATTTTCATCTTACCCATTGTAGAAGATACTTTTGTTCGGAATCAAGTTTGTCCTCATAATTGGGCCTCCCACTAACAATCTCAAGACACACAACTCCAAATCCAAAAACATCAGCTTTTGATGTTAAATGTCCACGCATTGCATACTCCGGTGCAAGATACCCACTAATATATATTAAAAAAAATATATTAGTGGGTTATTGAATAAACTATTATTATAATGTGTTTAAAAAAAAAAAGAACTGACATGGTTCCTGCGACCCGGGTACTCGTATGGGTTCTTTTATCATTGTATAGTTTTGCTAATCCAAAATCAGAAATTTTGGGGGATAAATCAGCATCAAGTAAGATATTACTTGCTTTCACATCACGATGCACAATTCTTGGCCTTGATTCTTCATGGAGATAAGCCAACCCTTTTGCTGTTCCTAAGCATATATTAAAACGTGTTGCCCAATCTATATGCACATTCCTTTTGCCTATTATAACATATCAACATACTTAGATTTTGATTTTGATTTTCACATTTGTTTTTGTATCGTTATTTATATATATCAAATGTTTTTTATTTGAGTAAGTATCCATACACCATTTTAATGTGGAAAAAAAATAAACAAGACCTAAGTGTCATATGGATAAATGATGTATGTTTGGAATAAAAAGACTGTTTCTTCTGGGGGCAAAATGGACCTTCTGAACGCATGTAAATGACCATTTTACCCTTCTGTCTAGAACTGATGCCATATAACAAGCTACTATGTTTGAGGTAACAAGAGATGTCTGGATGGATTACCCCACATTCTCTCACTTAACTCATTAAGTCGCTCTGTATGTACTAAGTCACTAAAAAAGGGCAAATTGCAAGAAATAGCATGATACAAAACTTTTTTTTACCAATTTAGATAATTTAATTTAATTTTTAGCTGTAAGGAATTGGAAACAAATCATTTATAGTTTAATACGAGTGGCATTGCTATCAATGAAATCATTTTTAATTTGGTTTTTTGGTAATTATGCCAAAGTAAAAAGTCTTTCAGTTGCCAATTGGTTATAAAGTTGATAGTTGATACTTATTTTATAAAAATTAGTAATGATTTGAATACAACTCCTCCTAACACTTTCTTAATGATTTGTGTGATTAGTACACCCGTACAACGTTTGTCAACTTCCCAACCACTATTACTAATCTACGATTGTGACATACTATACTACATAATAAATAAAAATATGTCATATGTTATTTTTTTAAAGTTTATATTTAATTTTTCTAGCTTTATTTTTAAGATGATACTCGATAGCCTTACATACTTTCCTTTAATTACTTTACAAATAAAATATTACACTACGATTTAGAATAATATCAATATTATATATTATTAATGCTAGTTTTATTTTAATTTATAGTAATTTAAAAAAAAAACTTTATAATAAAATTAGAATTTTTTCTTCAGATACCATGAATTGTCGTTGGTTTTCATTTTTCTAACACTTCATTGTCATACTTTATAAATTGTTGTCGTATATAAAATAAAATTTGTTAGTTACGTATTTTCTTTATTATTTTTTACTCTATTAATTCTCTTTTAAACTTTTTAAGTTACGTGGTGTCACAAAAGTTGCATTCCCTTCACTGCACGTATGCGATACGTTAGTAATTACCACAAAAATGTGGTTTCTTACCATACCCACGGAGTTGTGTCACACTCAATTTAAAATATTTATAATAAATATATAAATAAATTAAATTAAATTAAATTTAAAAAAAAAACATTTTTTTTAAAAAAAAATGACCGATCAACGGTCGATTGGAATGGCAATAGGAAGAGCGGAGCGCTCCCTTGGAGTGCCACAGTGAGGTCTCTACCACACCAAAACCGCAGGGAGTGGGCGATATTTCAAACTGATGTGGCAAGTGAGTGCACCCTCTACCGCACCCACTCCCTCAAGCCTAATAGATCAAGATTACAATTGCATCCCATGATCTTAGCTCCCAATTAACATATGTTAATACTTTTGATTTTTTTTCCCATTTTCAACTAAGTTTACATATTGTTTTTAAACTTTTTTGACGAATGGCAAATCATCTTTCTATAAAGCGATTTTCAGATTTAATCAATTTAGACTTAGATTTTACAAGTTCCAAAATCACCAAGATTGTTGTATAATGATAAGAATTAAAGTAGAAAATAAATAAATAATTCATCCTAAAAACTCACCTATAAAATCTGGATTTCCCATAACTTGATCTAGTTTTTTCATAATACCATTTGGTGCTTTAATATAATTTTTTTTCTATTCGAGTCATCTTACTGTTTCAGAAATCTTTAATACTTTTTCTTATTATTTGATTTTTTCTTTTGATTGATTCCTGTTAGTATGACATTTTGTGTGAATTTAACAAAATACACTATCAATAAACATTTCCAATCAACAGTAATATTTAAGTAGTATATTTTTATATTTTTTTTTTTTTTGTATTTTTCTTTTTCGAGTTTTATAATCAAATAAAGTAAACAAGTTTTTCTCTTTTTCCTTTTCAAATTTTATAAATTATATCTACATATTTTTAAATAAAACACAAAAATTGGTTATTAAGTAGCCTGGCCCAGAACCAGTTTTGGGGCCTTTGAATCACTTCCTTCTTCACCTCACTCTATTAATTACAACACATTCGAAAAATAAAATGGAAGTTTAATTATCTTAAAACAAAAAGAGATACAAGAAAGTAGAAATAGATGAAAATGTAGAATGTACAAGTTTCTGGCGTCTGAAAATACGTCACCTTCCTTCACGAAGACTCCCAGTGTTGATTAGCTCGGATATTATAGGTGATGACATTGACACTGACTCGATACCCGTTGAGGTTGTATTTGTAGTGATGGTTGTATTTTCAAATGACAAAGAAAGAGTTTCTTCATCATAAAAAGTGTTGGTTGTATCGTTGAAATCCCAATCGGTTAAATAACTTGGTTTTGTAGTGACTTGACTTATTTCAATGTCCCCTGAAAGCATTGGAATGACACGTGACATTGCGGGTCTTAAAGAAGGTGATGCTTGAACACACATGAGAGCTATTCCTATCATACGTCTGGCTTCTTGTTCATCAAAAGATGTTAAAGATGGATCTACAAGCTCTAGGCTTCGGTTGCTTTCGTATAGACTCCATGCCTTGAAACACCATAAACATGTTAGGTTATTACCTATGGAATGGATTGTTAATTATGATTAACCAATTTTTATTTAGAAAAAAGAAAGACACTTTATTTTCATCTTACCCATTGTAGAAGATACTTTTGTTCGGAATCAAGTTTGTCCTCATAATTGGGCCTCCCACTAACAATCTCAAGACACACAACTCCAAATCCAAAAACATCAGCTTTTGATGTTAAATGTCCACGCATTGCATACTCCGGTGCAAGATACCCACTAATATATATTAAAAAAATATATTAGTGGGTTATTGAATAAACTATTATTATAATGTGTTTAAAAAAAAAAAAAGAACTGACATGGTTCCTGCGACCCGGGTACTCATATGGGTTCTTTTATCATCGTATAGTTTTGCTAATCCAAAATCAGAAATTTTGGGGGATAAATCAGCATCAAGTAAGATATTACTTGCTTTCACATCACGATGCACAATTCTTGGCCTTGATTCTTCATGGAGATAAGCCAACCCTTTTGCTGTTCCTAAGCATATATTAAAACGTGTTGCCCAATCTATATGCACATTCCTTTTGCCTATTATAACATATCAACATACTTAGATTTTGATTTGGGACCTAGACACAAGGGTAAAACAACCATTTACTCTCATTCAGTAGAAAAAAGAAAGTCTTAGCTCATTAAGTGTTGTATGGATAAATGATGTTTGTTTAAAGTAAGTGTTCTACACACAAAGACTGTTCCTTTTTTGAGCCGAATAATATGGCTGAGCGCGAGTAAATGACCATTTTACCCTTCTGTGTAGAAGTGATGTTGAATAATAAATGACTGTTTGTTTGAGGTAAAAAGGTATATAAAGATTTTTGCATACCAAAGAGTGCTTGATCAAGGCTTTTATTCTCAAGATACTCATAAACAAGAAGTCTTCTAGCTCCTTCAATACAACAACCATGTAACTTAACAAGGTTCCGATGTTGGACAGATGAAATGGTGGAAATTTCAGTTATAAATTGACTCTTTCCATGGTGGGATGCTACTAACAGTTGCTTCACAGCTACTACATTTCCATTATTCAATATTCCCTGTGTTACATATTAAAACATCATTATTGTTTATTTTTAACAAAAGATTAATTAAGTATATGCACAAAACTTAATAGATAAAAAAAACCTTGTAAACAGGTCCAAAACCACCCTCTCCAAGGAAATTTGAATGACTGAAATCTGCAGTTGCAGTTTTCAGTTCTGCATAGCTATAAGTATTTACTTTTGGTCCAATGCCAAGAATTTCTGTGAAAAAAAAATAATAATAAAATAAAAAAAAAAGTAAAGAAATTGCAGTTGATTGCGTAGGTAGAATGGAAGAATATGGCATTAGGGTCTTTTTAGAACGATGGAACGGAATCACAAAGGAATGGAATGGATCATTACATTCCATTGTCATGTTTGGGTGGGTTGAAGGAATGGAATGAGTCATTGAAACATGTCTTTTGTTATGTAGAGTTAAAAGAGAAAATGAAATTAAGCTGATAATTAAAAAATAAAAAAAAATATTAGTTTATATAAGTAACTTTAATCAGGTAAGATCTATATATGGCATATAAACATATTTCATATGCTTTTAAATGTATACCACATTTCATGTCCTTTTAAATGTATACCATTACCATTTATAATATAACATTCCATTCCATCTTCAACTATTGCATACCAAACACACCTACACAATAAATAATAATAATAATAATAATAATAATAATAATAATAATAATAATAATAACTGATATAATTGTTAGTTACCTTCTTCTTCCCCATCTTTTGACCTTCTCCTTTTCAAGTAAAATAAACCAAAAATTAAGAAAACAAGGCAGACAGATCCCACCCCAGCTATGATACCAATTATCATTCCAGTATTATTTGAAGAATTACCCTTCACTTTGAAACCTAATTAAAAAAATCAGAAATCATTAGAATCAAAATAAAATAAAAGAATATGTACACATTCCATGATTATTACCAGGGGTAACTCTGATTGCAGAAATTAAAGGACCATAATCTCCCTGTTCAGGTATGCAGCAAGTCCCTTTTCCAGCCCAAAAAAGATGGATTTCAATATGATTTTGTGTCACTCTTACATCATAATTCTTTTCTAAAGCTATTCCAGCACCACCTGCTTCCTTTGATATATCAAAGTCCTTTTGTCTTCGATTTCCCTGGAAAACAGGAAAGAAAAAATAAAATCAGAGAGTGTTTGGTTCAACGGAATTGGAATTCGAGATTCCATTCCATGGTCTGTTTGGTTGCCAACCTGGATGTAAATATCAAAGAGGCGTCTGGGATGACCCTTCCAGACACTGGTGGTTAAATTGAAGACAGTTTCAGCAAAGAATAAGGTGATAGTGTAAGGACCATTTTGAAGCCCTAAACCATAGTATCTAAGGGACCCTGGAGACATTCTTGAAGTTCTGAAAAGCTCAGGGTATTTTGTGTTGTTGACTTGGATTGTTGTGGATGCTATGAATGAAGGGTCTTTTCTGTCAATTACTATACCCCCATTGCTCACAGCCCATTTTTCTTGAAATAAATAGTAGGATGCGGGTCCCAAGGCTGTAGAGTTTTCTGTATCGAATTCTATGTCATTGGACTTTACTCCTGATCCACCACACTTGATTGCAAAGCTGGTATCTTTAGAAAGTAATAAAGATTATTATTAATTAAAAAAAGAAAAGATAAGTTGGGATGAAAATAATGAAGTGAAGATAAGAATGGAAAGAAGTAATGAGCAACTTACAAGGTGTTGTTGTGTTCCTGTTGCAAGGAAAGTCTCTCTGAAGACAAACTAATCCTGGGAAAATACTGCAAACAAAAATAAGAATTAAAAAAAGAGAGAGAGAGAGAAAAAGAAAAAGAATTTGATTGGTTACCTTATGTTTGTGCTGTCAAATTTAAAGTTATTAGCCACCAAATTCCTGAAATTAGCACGTAAACATTCCAATATATTAATAGAATTACAAAATAAAAAAAAATAAAAAAAGATTCACTTTTGCAAATGAACAGGATTAAGAAACACAAAATAGGTACATATTGAATCTCAGTGATCAAGATATTTAAAAAAGTAAACATTGAAACATGAAAGTAAACATACAATTGCAGATTAGGCATTGCCCATGATGGAATCACCCACTGAGGAAAAGATCCAGAGAGTTCATTGTAAGACAAATCTCTACAAAATAAAAAATTGTTAAATCAAGAAAAAGAAAAAAGTAAATTAACTTAAACAGTAAAGATGTTCAAGTAGCTGTAATCAACTTACATATTTTGAAGACGTATGCTTTTTTCAGGAAGAAGAGAACCAGACAAGCTATTGTTTCCAAGAAACCTGACCACATCAAATAACACAACAGATAATAATAATAATATTATTAATAAAAACAGTTAAATTATTATATATGTTATTGTAAGAGAAATTGTAATGAAAACTTACAATGAAAGGAGGGAACTCATATTCATTAATGTTTGTGGTAGTGGACCACTTAAATTGTTGAAACTTAAATCTCTACCAAAAAAGAAATAATAAAGTAATTATTATATAATATTATCTATATCTCCTGCCTTCTAGAGGACTGTGTAAAGTTGTTTGTTTACAATTTGCATGAAAAACTTACAGTGTTTCTAGCTTTTCCAATCGATTAATGTTTGTTGGAATAGGACCTGATACTAATGCATTTCTTATAACTCTGGTTAAAAAGATGAAAAAAATGGTTAGTAATTTGGTAAAGATTTGAAAACATCATGTGAAAGAGATTTATGTTATGCATCTTACAAATCAGTTAGGTTCCTCAAGTTGGTGATAAAGTCAAGAGATGAACTGAAATTCTGCAAATCACTTATTCGCCTGTAAAATTTCATGTATAAAATTAAAAGTTATTCATATATATAGAGTCAGGATCAAATGAGGAATTAAAATTTGGTGAGAATTGAGAAACAATTAACCATGGCCATTGATTCATTAAATCAATGGTCATTAGAAGTGGCAATGAGCCAGTGATTGTAATTAATTAGAAAATTATGTCATTTATATATGGGTTTAGTTTGATTATATGCGTAATATTGTCAATTATGATAATTTATTTAATTCACAATACTCTCAATTCCAAATGACTCATTATAATTTACTTGTGGTGATTCAATACGTATCATGACTCACATAATTTAGATAAATGATAAAGATAGAGAGAAAAATTGAACTCACAGAGAAGTCAACAAGGTCAAATTTGAAAAAGTAGCTGGTATAGGACCTTCAAAATTATTCCCTTGAAGTCTCCTAAATTATCAAAAAAAAAAATGCAAAAATAAGTAACTGATACTTTTTGTAGCTTAAAATTTTGAGATATAACCATTCTTACTCACAGGCTCACTAATTTTGTCCAGTTTCCTATAAAAGCAGGTATCTTTCCAGAAAAAGGGCTATCTGATGCCCACCTGAAAACCAACAACATATCTCATACTAAGCAAATAATTAGAAGTTGCATTTGATTTTCAATTATACTAAAAAAAAAAGGTAAATTACATGAAATAACAACATACTTTAAATAATAGCAATTTTCTTACAACTTTTAACCATAATAACAACAAAGTTACATGATGCCCATAATGCCCTTTCACTAAAAGATGTTTCTTATAGAATCAGTGAGATGTAAGTATGTTGCTATTATGGGAAAGGAATAAAGTACATTACCCATATTGGTAGTGAGAGGAATGTATATTGATAATAATTCCATGATTTTCCCATAAAAAATAAAGAGATTAATGAGAGAGAAAAATAATACATGACAATCATATTTTGGAGGTTGGCAAATGTAGAGGGAATCTCTCCACCAGCACCACAACTGTCTAGATAACTGCAAATTTTATATAAAATCAGATATTATATTATATAATATAATAAGCTTGTTGCATATATAATTTATATATATTCTAATAATAACATACAATTGCTGCAAGTTGACTAGGTTTCCAAGTTCTGGGGGAAGACTTCCTGAAAAATTATTGGAACTTATAGCCCTACAATAAAAAAGACAACATATTAACATAACATGTCGCATAATAGTTCTTTCTAATTTATAAAAATTGACTGCAATAAATTTGCATACAAAATGACATTAAAAAGCACTCACAACATATTTAGTTCTTTAAGATTTCCAAGCTCCTTGGGTATGGGACCAGAGAATTGATTGTGGGCAAGTGACCTGTTCAGGAAAACAAAAATAAAAAAGTCGACAATATGAAAGTATTAAGCAAAAAAAAAATTGACAATTTTAAGATATATATATTTTTGGAATGATATATTTGATGGGATAAATCTGAACATACTATGCCACATGCAACAAAAAAATGTTCTAGGAGTATAAGATTTCAGATTAAGATTATATAACTTGGATGCTATTTATGTGCATTAGGTAAAACTAAATGATTCAACAAAACTTTATCCAAAAAAATAAATAAAAATCATACACTTACAAGACCACCATTGCAGAAAAATTTCCAAGGAATGGAGGTAAGGTACCAGTGAAGGCATTCTGATCAATTTTTCTGCATAAGTGAAAGATATTATGAAGATTGATTTGGATTAATACTTTTGAGAAAAAGAAAGAATTGAAAGGTTAAAGAAAAATACATACAATACAGCAAGATAAGTTAGAGCAGCAAGTTCTTCAGGAATAACCCCTTGCCTGTTAAGTTGACTGACTTTCCTGGAAACAAAAAGATGAGAAATCTCAAGAAAAAACATTTTTCCCTTATTACAACATTGTTCTTTCAAATTACACATGGACATGACAATGACATGGCATAAAAAGTTGTGATTTTAAAATTATTATAGCATTACACATTCATTTTTTTTCTTATTATAGGGTACTTTCAAATTACACATGCATTATGCATAATTACATGGCATGCAAGTAGGGTTGCTTTTTGATAAATTAAAACTGGAATAAGTGATTGATTGAAGAAGACGAAAGACTTACAATTTGATAATATGGCAAGTGGTGTTGCTGTCGAAGGTACAATTGCATTGGATTGCTGCAATTCTGTTCTCGTTGTCGAAATCTGATCCGAGCGCTTTTCCGCTGCATGGTTCTCCGCTTATGTTCCATTCGTTGTTCGGGATTTGAACATCCCATTGTTGAAATATCGAATTTAACGCTCTCACTGTTCAATTGAAAAAAAAAAAAAATAGAGCGATTGCTTATTCATCGATCGATGCTCGTTGCTTCAGGGTTTCGTTTAGCATATACGATTGAGATGCTGAGATGCATAGTAGTAGTCAAAGTGAGTTTGACCAAAAGACTAGCAACTGTCGGTTTTACCCGGAGTCATTAATATTTGGAAATACATTATTTTTGGCTTTTGGTTTTTGGTTAGGGTTTTCTTTTGAAAATGTCAAAAAAAAAAATTAAATAAATAAATAAAAGAAAAGGACAAAAACGCGATACGTTTACAGTTACACCATTTCTAATGGTCGTTAATTCAAAAACGCAATTCTTTGGACTTTGGAGAGACAAGGAAAAACATTAATGGTCGTTAATTCAATATTTTATTATTGTTATATCTAATAAAACACCTCTAATTGAGAGATTCAATATTCATAAATGTAAGTTAGTATTGTTTGGTAATAAACATATTTACTAACTTAGAAACATATATATTGAAATGAGTTGAAGGAACTGTTGTAGTTCTAAAATAGATAGAGATATAGTAAATGAAGCAAGAGAATACCACAAAGGTCAAAGCCTATTTATGACAAATATAGTCAAGGTCAAAGAACCATATAAGATTGCACCGTTTCAGAGCAACACGTATGTTAGCAATACTTGCAAGTTTTTGATATGGTTGATGGACAATTAGACATATTGTTTTATATTTTATAAAGTTCTTTAAAAATATAAATATAAATTTATAATTTAAATCATTAGCATCCCAGATAAAAAGTATCATCAAAATCCTTTGAAAGTTACATCAAATGGTTTTTATTTTTAGCTATTTTATTAGGGAAAATATATAAATGTCACAGAATTTTGACAACGTGTTTTAGTTTCGTCAATAAAAGTCACAAAAGATTGATACATTTTATTTTGTTGACCACTTTGACTTGCTATCATTTGTTATGGCAGGTTAACAATAGAATTTTCGTCAGAATTTAATAGCTTTATTAAAATACATATCGGCTAAATTTGACCAAAAAAAATATTATTGTAACTATTTTAACATGCTAATCGATATATAAAAAAAATGTCAAATTTAGATAGCTTGGATTGGATTGACGAAAATATTTATTATTGTATTTATGATAATGCTTGTATAAAAAACATAAAAACTAGATGCTCAAATACGTGTGTGTGAAAGTTGTTAATTTATGTGAAAAGTTGTTAAAAGGTCCTCTTTCCAAATATCTTTGACGATTCCTTAAATCAAATGTCCAAGACTTTATTATGATTTAGAAGTCAATTACATCCTAAAAAGGAAGTTGGCAACTCTGACCAGCAAATGTTAATGTGAAACTTAGAATCAAATAACTGTTTTAGTCTTTCTGCTTTGAAATTAAATTTGCGTAATGTTATTATCGTTTCTTTGTCTAAAAATATTTTTTCCGTTTTTCTCAAGACTACGATTCCAATCTGACTTTTCACTTATTAATTCTATTTCTTTTTTTAATATTCAACAATAAATTCCACTACAATATTTTTTTCAATTTATGTTTGTGAAAGTTATTTCGAATAAATGTAGATTGTGTCTTAATTGAACTCACAGCTTCTTAAGTTGATAATGTACACATTTTTTTTTTTTTTTGGAAATCAGCTAAACAATATATTAAAAGGGCAACACCTAGCAAGAAGCTAGATGAGCCAAGCATAGTGTTACTATGATAATGTACACATATATCCTTTTATTTATTTGTTTATTTATTTATGAAAAGTACGTACATTATTATATTACGAAAATTATGCAGTTTTGGACTTTTCAGATCGCTGACAACTCCCTATTCGGCAACAGGACAGCTAAGCCGACATGAACAGATGGTAGAACGAGAAATATGGATACTAATTCTTGTTAATTCAATCTGAATATCTCTGATGCTTAACATTTTCGATTTCGTTTCAACAAAGAACAACACGGTGAATCAACTCAAATGATCAGAATATTCGAATATGAAGCGATTGTATCAAAATACAACATCATGAGCTCGTAATCGATCCAGATAACTGATAATTAAGCTCAAATCTGATATATTAATCAGATTAAACTCGTAGGCGATCTAATGAGAGAATGACAGAGAGAGTAGTGATCGTACCTTCGGAAGGATCAGTTCGCGGAGTTTGAGCGTTGGATTTCTGGAACATGATGATGCAGACGAAGAAGATGAACAAATTCCAAAAGGAAATGGAAGAAGACGGAGGAATAACCGGTGGCGGAAACTTAAACCGGAAACTCATCGTCTCCGTTAACAGAGAACGAGACAAAGATTCAAAGAGGAAGTCAAGTGAATAATGGATCAGTGGGGTGTAGATATGTAAATAATGGATCAGTAATAATGTAATGTTGTATCTACCTGAGAAAAGGGTTTTTGAATCCACCGAAGAGACATGGGCTCCCATTCCCATCTGGGGAGTCAAAGTTTGAGTTGGCCCATTAAATATGTGGTTATTAATAGGATTGACCAAAAACATTCGTCAACGTTATTGTATTCATATTCATCAAATTTAAGCTTCATAAAACCTGGATAAATGATGTGATTTGATTATTTGATTTGTGGGTTTAAAATTTCGTTCGTATATTTAAATTCCCAACAGTCAGAGAATTTAATTAAACTGGAATCACCAAAAAAGTATTGATGTAATAGTCAATGGTAAAGCTCTCATGTACATAACAAAGATATTTGAAAAAAAATAAGGCGACAATTTATGTGGAGCGATGGAAATGATAAGAATAAGATCTATTGGGGCTTTGCGGTCAAAAGTTACTATGAGGATCTTTGTGCAAAATAACTTACAACATAAACAATCTATTTAATAGATTAGTTGTGAGACCTATGTATTAAATGGGTTAATTTTTTTTTAAAAAAAAAAGTTAAATATGAAGGTTAAAATATTTGAGAACTTTGAATTTATAAGAAAATAAGAAAAATAATGAATTATTATAATGAAAATGTTTTTTTATCTTTTAAATTTAAATAAATAAAAAAACTAATGAGCTTTAGATTTGAGAATTTTGAAATTATAAGGTAAATTCATTAATAAAATTAATATTCATTTATTACTATAGTTATTATATTAAAATATTATGTGAATTTAATAAAATAGAAAAACTCATAAAATGACATGTGGAAAAAAAATTTATTCAAAATAACCACAAAATGACATTTGACAATTTGAATGAGAGTGTGACAAGTGACAAAAAAAAACCTTCATTTATTATTTTTACAATAAAAACTCACTATCAACCTACTTTACTCTCTCCTAAATCTACTCTCGGATTCACGATGAACAAGAACACAAAAGATGTAACTGAACAAACTATAAACCCTAGTTTACAGAAACCCTGATTGAGAGAGAAAACAAGTGAAGATATTTTAGTGTTTGCGTAATAATGAAGCTTCAACGACCCAACAAACATTATATAAGATCTGAACTAGCAACCACGGACTATCCATGATCCGAAATCAATCCACGAGACTTTTAGACAATTTTACCTGCAACACCACAACAAATACAAAACATACAAAATATACCCTAAAACATAAAACCATTTACAAAACATCTAAAATATAAATAATAAAAAATCAAGTCAGTTTTAGTATATATTATTGGAAATGGTTTTCCTCTATCTGAAGATGATCTTCCACATGTTGATCAAGGTGAAAGAATGTTCTCTTTTTCGAACAATGGCGGAACTCGAGATCATGCTTCTCCAATTCTTCATCCACCTCCTTCAATGACTCTCCCCAAGTCATGTTTCCTTCAAGCTGAAAAATACGAAGTTACTCAATCCCTGTTGGCATGCAAACATCAAGATGGAAAGTCTGTGTGTGCGCATGTTCTGAAAATAAAATCGCGCATTGACAGATTGGGGATGTTGGGTGTCGTTTTCTCAAGGGAGTTGGCCATTGACTTGGTTCCACTTTCGCTTCCTGAGTTATATAGTCAGTTCATCAAAGACTACTACATGAGGGACCACGACGTGTCCCTAATTGATCTAACATATATGTTGATTGTTGCTGAAGCAGAAATGCTTAAGAGCACAAGTCAAGCAAAAAAAATTGAAGGACCTGTCTCTAAAATTTTCATGGACATTGACAATGACAACATTGGCAGTCCATAAAAGGTTTCTCTTCCTAATGGAAAGGGTTGACCAAAGTCAAACCGTTTGACCATATGGTAAAGAGAAAGGCTGATTCTGAGATCGTTCATGTGCTGATCATAAAAAGTTCATATGTTTCTATTGCCAATTGAAGGGGCATTGGATGTGAAGCTGCCCAAACTCGGGACCCGTACCGATTCTACATATTCCGGTTCTAACGGTTCCGGTTCCGGTTCCGGTCCGGTTTTCCGGTTCTAAATCTCATCCCTAGTGGAGAACACTACCCAATGTGTACATTCCACGGTGAGTTATTAATGTTTCTATATTTTTTCACCCAGGTTGTTCTTGTGATGAGGATGGTTGTGAAAATAATTTAAGAAAATTAAAAAATAATCCAATAAAATTAAAATAGAACATAAAATATAGACAATGACAATATAGTTTTTTTGTCATGTATAACGGATATAAAAATCACAACAAAAATAATACATGGATGGTCTGTACTAATAAAAAAGATAAAGAGGAAACACGATCTCAATAATTTACTTTGAATTTTTTTTTTAACATTATTGTTTAATTTAGTAATAATAATAATAAGGGTATGGATTTAATAAGAACTAGGAAAGAGCCCATGCATCGCATGAGTTAGAAATAATTTAGAGTTTTATAAAAAAAAATTGGGCAAAAAGTGACAGTTTTCAAAAACATGTAAGAGCGACGACGAACTCTAAGAGTATACAGCAGGGTTCACTACTCATTGACCAAGGAATGACCTAATTTGTAATAAAACGAAAAAAAGTATTGAAATAGAACAATGTTACAAAAGGCAGGGACCAAATTGACAAGTGGATATACTTCTGGGTGGAGATTGCACAATTGGATATACTTGTGGGTGGAGATTGCATGGGTAAATATTGAAGGGAGCAAAAGTATGAAACCCCTATAGAATGGTGTCAAAAACCTAAAGTCCAAAACTTTGCGCTTTAATATATATATATATATATATATATATATATATATATATATATATATATATATATATATATATATATATATATATATAGAGAGAGAGAGCTAGGTTCAAATGTTTTTAACAACTATTGTGTGCATGAATGCACCAATAGGAATTTAGGAATAATTAAATAAATAAAAATTGTTATAAGGGTAATTATGTAACTTTAGCATAATAATTAAAATGAAATCCCTTAATTCATGGAAATTACCATAAAAATCTCTTTGACCAATTATTTAACCTAGCCTCTCATATGATACGTATTCTATTTCTGTCTCCTCCCATTTTCTTTTCTTATTGACAAATGAAGAAGAAGCGGTGGATCAGAAGCTGCAAATCTGTTTCCCCATTCCGTTGACAAGATGAAGATGTTATTCTCGGCGACTCCATCTCCAATCGAAGCTAGCTTCTATATCCAATAGTTGGTCAAAGAGATTTCTACAATTTAATATACCAGACTTGCAATTCCATTCCATAGAAAACAAGTTTTTTTCTTCGTTCTTCCAACTAGCCAATTTTTACAATTTCAACTTTTAGTTTTAGATTTTTATAATGGTGTTGAAATATATTGTTGTTCATATGAATTTGATGTTGATGGTTCTGAATTGGATTTTTTTTTCATTCATGATTCATAGAAAATGTGGTGATTTAGGGAGCGCCCTTAAAGTGTTTGATGAAATGCCAAAGAGAAATATGGCAGTCTCGGATTGTATTCATGGTTAGCGATGGAATGTTTATTGTTGTGCATCTTATCTCCTAAGGTAAACAAAATCAAAACAGTGAATTGTGTTATTCTATCATACTTTAAATTTAGAATTACTCTCATTTTCTTTCAATAGTGAAAGAGAGGGAATCATTTTTCGATTATGAAATATATCAGGTGCTGGAAATCACATAAGAATATTCTGTAGAATAATTATTGGGTGTTTATTCTTATCTTCAATTTTTTCATTATGTAAGAATAATTATTTCATTCTTTAAGAATATTCTGTAGAGAGTATTATCATCTTGGAAATCACATATGAATGATTCTGCCAGAATTGTATTTCCGGTATAATCACATAAGAATGATTATGCAAGGGTTGTATTGCAATTGGCTGATGTTTTAACATGATTTTTGTTTCTTATGTTTTTCAGATGTTTCAAGTTTTGCCAATGGATCACTTACCATCCTCGAGTTTATCTCCTTTTGCAGCTCCTTCTATAAAATCATTCTCATGCAATACAATTCTGACAGAATGCCAATCTCACAAAATGGCAATCTCATAGAATGCTAGATATTTTGAAGTAGCTTAGAGGTCAAACATACACAATACATTTAGAAACGAAACAAGAAAGTGAATGAGGATTCTTTCAAGAATGCCGATATTTTTTTTGCAAGAGATTTCAAGAATGAATGTAATTTATGTTCATAGTTGTATTCTTTAAGAATGAATGTAATTATTTATTCTAAACTATTGAACTTCGTCTTATATAACATTTGTATTCATTAAAAATTATTGATCTTGATAATATGTGTTTATAATATTATGTTCATAGTTGTATACCATTCTGACAGAATTATAGAATATCATTCTAACAAAATGACATTCTGATAGAATAAAATCGGTATATGCTTACGTTTGAAATTGTATTAATTTGAAAAAAATCAGATTTTTTAAATCAAAATCATTAATTATCCCATAAATCTCGATTTTTCCTTTTTTAAATTTGTATTAATTGACTAAAATGTCTTTATGCTGAAATTTGTGTAATTATATGGTACATGCTACCCTATTGTAATATCATAGACCCTCAGATCATGACCGTTAATTCTATTCCATCCGATGGTCCAGATCTGTGCATTCTGGCACACAATAGTTAGTAAAAACAAAATAACCTAACCCTATATATATATATATATATATATATATATATATATATATATATATATAAAACAAAAAACAAAACAAAAAAGTTAAAAACCAACTAAAAAGACAAAAAAAATATATATGTAACAGTCGTATTAGTAATTTGAAGGGGGTGTCTAAGCAATTCTAAAAAAAATTATTTTTTTTACTCGGATTGTGATTACGTTGGTGAGGGTGATGGTGGGTTAAAAGTAAGGTCGACATGATTAATTAGGAAAAACTACAATAAAGTCCCTACATATTGGTCTCATAATCGATTTAGTCCCTATATATTTTTTTTATTCAATTAAGTTCCAAATATCGGTAATCGTATTCAATTTAACCATTTGACCCGGTCAACAGGTCATCAAACTTTCAAAAATTACATTTTTGGCCCAGATTTAATAATTTATTACAAATTCGGTCCATAATTTACACTTTTGGCCCAAATTTTAAATTTTCTTACAAATTTGGTCCAAACTTTACCCTTTTTGCCCAAATTTTAGAATTTTATTATGAATTCATCCCAACCTTAGTTTTTTTACAAATTTCTTTCTCAAAAAATTGTTTCTAATATGTTTTTTCTTTATAAAATCATATTTATAAAAAAACATATTTTCACATAAAAATCTTATATTTTCTATATAAAAACGTTTTTTAAAAAGCTTTTTGTTTATGAAATATCTAGTTATAAAAATATGTATTTATTAAGTATATAAATATATACAAATCCGTTTTTATAAAAAATGTATACAAAAATGTATTTTACAAAGAAAATATATACAAATCAGATTTTATATAATACGTGTTTGTATACATTTTTTTTTTGTGTAAAATACGTTTTTGTATACATTTTTTTTTATAAAAACGGATTTGTATATATTTATATACTTAATAAATACCTATTTTATAACTAGATATTTCATATACAAAAAACTTTTTATATAGAAAATATAAGATTTTTATGTGAAAATACGTTTTTTTTGTATAAATATGATTTTATACAAATCCTTTTTTATAAAAAAAATGTATACAAAAACGTATTTTACAAAAAAAATGTATACAAATCCGTTTTTATATAATACATGTTTGTATACATTTTTTTTTTGTAAAATACGTTTTTGTATACATTTTTTTTTATAAAAACGGATTTGTATATATTTATATACTTAATAAATACCTATTTTTATAACTAGATATTTCATATACAAAAAACTTTTTATATAGAAAATATAAGATTTTTATGTGAAAATATGTTTTTTTTGTATAAATATGATTTTATAAAGAAAAAACATATTAAAAACAATTATTTGAGAAAAAAAGTTGTAAAAAAAACTAAACTTAGGATGAATTCATAATAAAATTCTAAAATTTGGGCAAAAAGAGTACAATTTGGACCAAATTTGTAACAAAATTTAAAATTTGGGCCAAAAGTGTAAATTTTGAACTCAATTTGTAATAAAATTTGAAATCTGGGCCAAAAATGTAATTTTTGAAAGTTGGATGACCTGTTGACCGGGTCAAAGGGTTAAATTGAATACGATTACCGGTATTTGGGACTTAATTGAATAAAAAAAATATATAGGGAGTAACTCAATTATGCGGCCTATATGTAGGGACTTTATTGTAATTTTTCCTGATTAACTAAATAACTCTAAAAAATACTACCCCCTCTTATATTAATAATTTATGTTTCGTTTTTGATTTATCTCAAAATAATAGTCTATTTTTAAAAATAAATATTCTTTTTATCAAAATACTTTTAATTATTAGTTAAACTACAATGGAATTAAATGCAACAAAAGTAAAGCTGTCATTAATGTTTATTTAATATGTGTGTTTTTTGTATGTGGACAATAATTTTGGGACAGATGAAATAATATAAATAATTTTGAAAAGAAAAATAAATCAAAAAAACATAAAAAATAATAATATATTTTTTTTCATGTATAACAAGTACAAAAATCTATACAAAAGAATAATACATAGATAATTTAAATGAAAAGAAATTAATAATAATCCGATCGTAGATATAACAATGAAATGTTCAATATGAGTTTGTTTAATACTAATAATAATAAAATATATTTAATGAAAATATAAATTACAACTAAAGTAACATTTAATCCTATCTATATCCACAACGAGACTTAAAACCTATTTATATCCACAACGAGACTTAAAACCTCAAGTTCAAGGGACCCCTTCAAGTTCAAAGACCACTTAATACCATTTGGATTAGAAGTTTTTTGGTAAAATAACTAAAAAATGAAATATTAATAAAAGCACGATGAGGAATTTGAGAGTCCATGAACAATTCCCCAAATAGTGAATATGCATTTCCTTTAAAATAAAATAAAAAATTAAAATAATAACCACTCCCTTGGTATTAAATAAAGTAAGGTATGATGTGTCTCAAAGGTACACGCGTCGATATATAAAATTGGTGGGGGTACGTATGTGAGGTTGAGTGAGTCGAGTCCATTTTCGAAATAGACAACATGGATAGAGATAAATGCACAGGGATTCTCGCTCTAAATTTTCAACCTCTACCAGTTTCTTTATAGATTTACACCTGATTTCTCTCCGATTTCTTTGCCCAATTCTAGGGTTCTTTTTTACCTTTTCAACAACACCCTCTGCCGGTAAGTTACTCCACACCCAACTTACTGATTCATTAATCCCAGTTTTATTTAATTGCAATTGTCCTCGGTGTTTATGCATATTAAATTCCTTCAATTCTTCATCGAATTCCTTTTTTCGGCGTTCCGTTTTGTTATTTCGTTATTCGGATTATATATCTGCATGTAATTTGATGATTACTCGTGACTAGAATTGGGTGTATGTTGTTTTAATTCGAATTTCAGTTTCCAATGTCGAAATTTCTAGATTTGAGTTTTGATTTCTGATTTTTTTTGTAGTATTTAGTCCCATTTGATTGAAGACCGACTTTCTTTTACATAATTGATCCTCTTTTGATTTGGGTATGTCCTTAAGGTGGATCATTTAGGGGTTCTTTTGATTACCTGTAATTATAGGTGCAACTGAATCCATGATATATCTTGTGTTTATTTTGCATTATTGCAACATTATCTGCATAAAACCTCATTTTTTTTCATGGAGTTGGTAATTTGGTATCTTTTCAATGCGATAGTTTCTTTCTATAAATCCTATGAATTCGTATGTGACATTGTGATAAAATGGTAACTATTATCGAAGTTGACCATATAATCATCTACTACAGGTAAATCTTACTGGCAAATTGCATCAACTCCATGTCCACTACAGCCATGAGAGCAAATTCACATGATTCATCTTCACAAGAACAATCATTAGACAGGGACACTCAGTCTGATGAAGTTTTAAGTGAAGAAGAAGATGATGTCAGCAAAGAAACACATAACAATGTGTCATATTTTCCTTCAGGTGCTTTCCATTCTACTACTGTACTACAATTTAGTTATTTAGCCCATCTAATTACCTTTTATTATATAAATCCTATTTTTTTTTTAAATATTTAATAATATAGTAAGAGGTTTTCTCTAACTGGTTTATCTCTATACTCCATGTTTACTCTTGCATTTCTTTATATCTCTGAATAAATATCATTCATTATACACTCTGAACATGGTTTATCTTTATATCTTTTCTTCATTTTATCTTTTTTGTTGAGTGTTAGCTATTTTTCTCCTTTCTTTCCTTCCATTTTGGTCAATTTAGTGATTACCCCTATATTTTGCTGTGATAAGGGTCAAATGGGAACTTAAAAATACAAAGCTAAAATGGGAATGAATATTCTCTACACTAATTTTTTATTAACCTATTAAATAACTTATACCTTCATGTACTTATTGTTCAGGAGTGATATATTCTCTACACATCAATTCTTTATCCTTATTTTTGTCATAGTAAGTCCTTTATCAGGATGTTGTACATGTTGACTTCACTTGGATCATATTTATTTGTCATAATATTGATGGACTGATTTACCCTTGAGCTCAGATACATGTGCACAAGAGCACCAAAATTTTCAGCATGACATACTTCCAAGAAATGAAGAAACCCTTTCACAGCCACCACAGCTTGAACTTGTCAACCAATCAGTTGTAAGCTTTTTCTTTTTCCCCGGAATCACCAATTCCACTCCAGGGTGGAATCACTAATTCCGATCTTTTGTAGGCTCCTTATTATGATCCGTATTATGGTGGGATGATGGCTGCGTATGGTCAACATTTTGTGAGAATCTTGACATTATATATTTTGATGAATTTGAATTCATGTCAAATTTTGATTTTTTTTTTTTTTTTTAAAGGTTCATCCTCAGTTTGTTGATGTGCAACAAGTGAGGATGCCATTGCCACTTGAAATGGCACAAGAGCCTGTTTATGTGAATGCTAAACAATATCATGCAATTTTGAGGCGAAGACAATCACGTGCTAAAGCTGAGCTTGAAAAGAAACTTATAAAAGATAGAAAGGTTGGTACATTGGAATGGAATGATTGATTCCATTGGAATGGAAAAGAACCATGGAATAGAATCGAAGGATTCCATCTTGTTAATAATATTCATTCCTTTGTTTTTTCATTCAATCATGGAAGAGAATGAAAAGTTGCAAATATTACCCATTTTTGTTCATGTAAATTTTTGATGACACTAATGTTTCGGAAAAAAAAATTCATTATTTTAATCCAAATTTATTTTGATTGTATAAAAATAAAGGCGTGAAAGTTACATAAACATCATTATATTTTCGGCATTTGTGCAGTTTAACCACTAATACTATACCTTTCTCTAATCAAACCATAAAAGTTTCACACATTTTTTCTAATTACCTATTTTTATGGTTAATTTGGAAATTCATTTGAAACTTTTATGGTTTGATAGGAAAAAAGAATAATTTAACTTAAAAATATGATTTTTATCATAACTTACTTGAATTTTGATAAGCTCTTATTATCTTTAATTTTTTATTTTTGTCAATTCTTTAACTATATAATCAAGACAATCTCTAAAATAGAGTTGAAACATAAACTTGTATTCACATATAATATGAAAATTCATTGTACTCCAAACATGATCATGGAAATAGAACATAATGACATTCCACTATCTTGCTTATTCCATTCCATCCATTGGTCATTCCATTCCATTCCAATCCTCAATTCCGGTGGAATCATGGAAAACATATTACCTTTTTTTTTATTATGTTGCAGCCTTATCTTCATGAATCCCGGCATCAACACGCAATGAGAAGAGTGAGAAGTTCCGGTGGTCGATTTGCAAAGAAAACCGAAACTGATGCTTTAAAAAATACAAGTGATGATGTGGCAACTGCCACATCATCAGGTATGAAGCGCGTGCACTCAGAGCCAGCTGTAAGTTTCGGGACCCACACCAACCAAGAAACGAGGGGGGGCGGAATGGTAAATTCATGCAATGGTGGGGCCCACCTCAGGTATGAAAACCAAGATGGGTTTCAGGAGGGAGGTTCTTTAGGGCAGCAATGGTCAACAATACCATCTAATCAAAATTCACAGAGGGCAGTTGCCATGAAATGAAATGATATATCGTATGATTTGGCTGGCAAATCATTCTTGGCTGTTTTTATGTGGAGAAAGGGTAAAAAGGTAAATGGACTTTTTAGTGGGCTCTTACTTATTTTCGGATTCTTTTTTAGTGGTATGTACAAAATATAATGTTGTTGATGAGCTCTTGATTTACATCTTATATGATGTGATGCTTTTGTTTAGTTTAGAGGTTGTTGTAAGAATAACTGTTTGCTTTTGCTTTTGCATTCAGATAATTAGTTAAATAGCTTTTAGGAGGCCAGAAACGGGACCATAATATTTGAAAGAACTAGATACAAAATATTAATCTATATCAATGGTTATGTTGCAATTGGTAGTCACAATTACCTTTCAAGTTTCCTTCATAGGGATAGTTGCAATAGATGTATTAATTTGAAAAAGAGAAATTAAATATCCTCTTACATTTACTTTCTATATTAAAAGATTATTATTTTCATTAAATGTGAGAAGGAAGAAAATGTAGGATGATGTTTAATTTCTCTTTGAAAAAAAGTTTTTGAATCAAAAGTGGATCTTTGTGAAATGTGGAATGGATTGTTTTGTTTATATGTTTTTTATAAATTAAATATGTAAAAAAAAGTTAAAAAAAAAACTGTCATTAATAAGAATATTTAAAGACGACTCAAGTGCTTATTATCTATACAAATTTTATTGGACTTGGACTGAACATTATTGTAGCAATACACTTTGTAGAAAAAGTGAAGTTTATTTGTAAATCTGGTAACGAGTTTTTCAAATGGTTTTTCAGTATAAAGAGACAAATAAGGTCATAATTTATCCTTGTTTTTAAAATGGGAAATGAAATTGTAGTCCAATAATGTTTTCAAAATTTATTCCCTAAACTTATTTTGTAGGGGAATCTAATGACTTTTTGTCGGGTTTAAATAGTCCATTTGGGAATTCTGAAGGGGTAACCCGGTTGCCTCTTGCCACGTAGACAATCTTCTTGACCCACTTCCTTGAACGACCACGAACCTACGAAACACAACCATCAAAATCTTTCAACATCGTCCCGTTCTACTTATACAACCAGCCTACTAACGCCTTGTCAACCTTCCAAGACAACTCCATCGAACAAGCCCTAAGAATTCCTCTCTCACATGAAGATACAAACGAGTTCCCATCAAACACCAGCAAAACCCCTCATCAATTGAAGGATTCAGAGAGTAATTTATCTGACAATTCAGTTGACGACATTTATGTGATGATTCGGGTTCTTATGTTATCTGATTTTGACGGAAAAAGACTGGAATGGTTTTGGCGATGATGAATTTTACAACAAGATTGTGAAGGTGAAAGGGCCTAGATGCAAAAAGGAAGTAAGAGGTTGGATGGATGGATTAAATACTTGTTGCATAATGGCGGAAGAGAGCCTTTGAGATTGGCACATTTGCTTTTGGCTAAGGCTGCATTTGTTTCGGTGGGTGGTGGTGGTGACGGAGTTGAGTTTCCTTCCATCATCGACGAGTTTCTACGAAATGACCTGCCTTCGGATTAGGGTTAATTTCGATTGAAATTGATTATTGTAGTGTTTCTCTTGGTTGTGGCTGCAAATCCATTGAAGATGAAGGTTTAAGCCCTAAATGTTGGGTTTGATTAACAAATTGATGTTTGTGGTGGTCTATGGTGGTTCACGACGGTGGTTAAGGGTTATGATTTTTAAAACTAACCAGACACCATGTGTTGAGCGGACAACCACATCAACTTCAACTAATTATATGGTATAGTTGACATGTTATTTCAGGTTAGGAGACCAATAAGCAGGTCGATATCCATTTTATGCACCTATAAAATCAAAAAATAAGTTTAGAGGTTGATTTGACAAATTCCAAAAACATTGGGTGCAATGTCATTTTCCTTTTTTAAAATGGGTCAAAACGCAACTTTTCATAAATAAAGAGGACCTGATTTTTCAATAGCTCTTTGGCTTTTTAAAGTTAAAATTATCAAAATACCCCCGTTCTCCCCAAATAGGAATGCCCTCGTTCACGTCGTTAGGCTCATTCCCCAAACACGCTCCTTCACAACGTTCATCAGTGAGAAGAGCTGCGACCCTGCTCCGATATCCGCTCCAGACTTCCTATAACCGGCGTCGGCTACTGCTCCTTCATCTGGTAAGTCCGACTTTCTTTATCCGGTTACTCCTCCTGGATCGATACATGATGTTTGATTTCTAGGGCTCAATTCTTGTTCCTAATTTCTGGTTTGGAATCCCACTTTCTTTTTCTGGTTATGCACACCTCGTGATAAGCTGATGATTTTTTTTTTTTTTTTTTTTGCAATCATTGAAGCTTATAATCTGATTTTGTTGATATAGTTTGGTGATTATCTGGTTTCATGTTAACAGTAAGCACTTATGTTTGGTGTTATAATCACTTAATAAACCTCTTAATCATCCATATGTCTGATCCAGTAAGATAAAAGAATTGTGTGAATCTGTTTTTTTAATAAGATTTGAATGAGCCTATCTGATTCAATAAGCTAACTATGGAAAAGATATGTATCACCCCAGTTCCACAAGAAAAACCACTTCATAATGTTTCTTAGTACCAAATAAAAAACTTATTTAAAAGCAACAAACAAATCATCAGGAATGGTCAACATAACTACATAACATTAGAAGTGAAGCACATTGTTTACCAATTTATAAAGCCACGTGTCCATTTGAGATACAAGAAAATATGGTTTACATGTTAAGGCCATGAAAATTTACATGTAAGACAAGAAAGTGGTTTTGTTAAATGCTGATTCTAATTTCTAAATGACTGAATCTGATTACTGTAAATTTTGCTAATTTGTAGAGCAAAGAAAATGCAAATGGATGATGATATTTCAAACTCGCTCCGTCGCATGTCGACTCGAGCGCGTAAAGTCGCACCCAAAATGGCAGCTGCACTTGCCAGCACTGATAATCGAACACAGGTCCTTCCTTGGAATTTGATTTCTTCTTTTCTTCCCAAAATTAAAATTTAATTAATATGTTTGAGATGAGAGTGTAAATTCTACTTACTATTACTATTACTATTAGGCAATTCTCGCACGTCTTGAAGCGCTTGAGAATGACAATCCAGGAGCCGAAATGGTAGAACCTAATGATGATGATGATGCATCCCTTGATGAAGATGATGATCAAGGTCATATTAGTTTTCATTGTATTATTATTTTTTTTAATTCTCTTTAATTATACGTTTTTATCTTTACCATTTGTAGTGTTCCACAAAAAGCAATCCAAAGGAACCAAACGGAAAACTCGCCAGGCAAAAGCACTCGAGACTGCAAAGAAAGCCCCAAGAACATTCCTTGAGCTCTTGCATGACGTGAGTAGATTACGTTTCCTTTCTTTTTATTATTTTTGTTTGTTAAACTTACACAGGATACAGACAGACAGGCTTTTTAGGGCAATTTTTTATTATGAGGATGAGGGACATGTGTTGTGTTTTGATAAATAGGCAAACCTGGAATCCTTGGTTCCTCATGTGCCGACCTATCTAAGAGCAGCGGTTGGGCCGCCAAGCTCCGGCAGCCGCCGCCACTTTTGCACTGTGTGTGGGTTTTCAGCCAAGTATACATGCGTCAGATGTGGGATGCGTTTCTGTGCTGTTCGATGCCAGAATATTCACAACGATACACGTTGTCTCAAATTTGTTGCGTAGAATGTGAGAGTAAATGACCATTTTGCCCTTCTGATGCTGAAAGTATCACTATATGTATATGTATATGTATATGTATATGTAACTTCCTCTAGATCTCTTTTTCGTTCTTTATGATCCTGCCTATGTTGATGAGATGAGAGAGAGGTATAGAGCATTCTATCGAGGACTCGGTTTTTCAATGGAGTTTGATATTATAAGTAGGGACATTTTTTTTTGTTCACTGGTGTTCTTGTTGGTGAAATGAAGAAAATTCGAAAAGGAAACCACATTAAATACATGAAAGAAAGCACGATGAGAGTATTTCTAAGAGGTATGCTATGCCTACTGGGGGTTATTTTTGCTAAAAATTAAAAAATTGCTAAAAATTAAAAAATCTCTTTTTCTGATTTGCATGTGGGGAAGATGGTGCTTTGTGTGTTCTGATTTCATTATATGTAAAGAACTAAGGGTCTGTTTGTTTGCATCTTAATACCTCATAATAATCTTTTCAGACCGTTTGTTTTACCTCTTAAGTTTTGGTCTGAATCTGAATTTTAGCACTTAACGAATCAGATTTGAAACTCCATCTGAAAAAATAAAAGACACGCTATGCCCTTAACCCCAAAATACGTTCTCTCTTTCTCGCCCCCTTCTCCTCCTTCTCACCCGCTTCTTCTCCCTCACCGATCTCCAATAATCGTCCGCTTCCTCCGATTTACAACACCACCGCCGCCAATTTCGTCGCCCCGCCTCCGCCAACTGTTGCAGCAACATAGACCTCCATCTATTTACAATGATGTCGACCTCCGGTTGTAAGGTTTTTGTCATTTTTTTGCCCTGAAAATCGAGTATCAATAGATATAAACTTGGTTTTTGCTGTTTTTTTTCTGGAATGTATTGTTGATTGTCGGCATCTTCTCTACCTCCGGCGACTGTTGCGCCTCTGGCAACTTTGCCTCCCATGTTCCCTCTTTCTGAAAACTGATGCTATGGTATATGATGTTTGATAAATCTGAAAACTAATAAATCTTAAATGCTGTTATGGCTTGATTTTTGAAATATAAGTTGATGATCTTGCTGATTTTATTGATTTATGAAATATATGTGTATGTATAGACTATAGTTGAAATATGTTGCTGAAATTTGTTGAGTTTGTGTTTATTTGCTGAACTATATAGCTGAAATCTGTTGCTGATCTTGCTGATTTGTACTGAATTATTGTTGAATTCATTTGCTGAAATGGAATTATGAAATCAAATATATGTGTATGTATAGCTGAAATTGAATTCATTTGCTGAATTTATTTGTTATGGGCTTTGTTCATTTGGGTCTTTTAAAAAATAAAATGGGTTTATGATTAGTGATTAGTGGGTAAGATGATGGTTCAGGATCATGTTTGCCAATTTTTTACGGGTTTCATCACATATGATTTTAAGGTGTGGTTTCGGTGGTTACAGAAATAGGAGGAAGGAAGAGAAAACATGTTTTCCCAAAATGACCTTGGGTTAAAAGGGAGAAAAATGACTAGAGAAAGTTGGAATGAAGTGAGGGAATTGGTGAAATGTGAGGAAGGAAGAGAAAACATGTTTTCCCACGTGTGAGAGTTTCTGTTTGTATGTA